ATTGATTATTTAATTGAGTTTCAAATTTACTAAATTAAAGTTATATTAAACAGTGAGCCAACTAAAACCAAATATCGTGAAAGCAGAACTTTAAAAATATATGTTATAAATCATAAATAGAAATTTTTAAAGTCTAAAAAAAAAAGAAAAAAGTTTTAAGTATAAAAAATTAATACTATAAAATTCAAGATAACATTACCAAAAATGATTTTACTCATTTTAAAGATCAGAACATTTATAAAGATAATATCAAAAGTATATACAAACTTAAAATTCGCTTGTGTAACTTTCTTCTCAGCAAATAAGCACCTTAACAAGAAAAGCTAAATAAACACAACCAACAAATCTCAAATTAAACAAAGCCATATAAAGTATTTACAACAAAAAAAGCAAAAGCTAAATAAAAGCTAAATATCAAAACCCATTCGCTTGTTTAAATGAAATAAAAACTAATGTAAATACTTAAGTTCATTTATAGATGGCAGTTTGTAAATGTATATACATATACAAATTGCAATTTATAATAAAATAAAACAAAAATACAAATTCACTCATAAAAAATTCAAAATATATTTAAGTTTACTTTGGACTTCTCTATTTTCTAAATTATTGTCAACTAACAAATATAAAAATATTTACATACATAAAATAAAAATTATTTTATTATATTCTTTTTATAATATAAGATTATAATGCTGTAATATAAGAAAATGAAAAAAAAAAGCATAACTTCAAAAACTTATATGCATTTTAAACACGAATTTCGAAAGAAAACAGAGAAATAAATATAACGATTCTGTAACAAAATTAAAAAAATAACTTACTCTCTAAGAATTCAATAAAAAAAACTTTAAAGCTAAACAAATATAAAAAGATGACGCTGTCAGTGACACAAAGGCAAGAAAACTACAAACCTTCATTCATTAACTATTCAGCATCTTTAACTAAATTATTCATCTCCTAATATGAATTAATAAATACAATAGATAGAGAGATAACTTTAGATATAAATATAACTAGAGATAAATATAATTATAATCATCTATATTTTAAAAATTATAAGATCTATAAAAAAACGAAGTTTTAAAATAATAAAATTATATACGAATATTATATAAATATATAAGAACTGAAGATATAAGTTAAAATTAAAAAAAGTAGTTTACCATAACAATATAATATTACCATTACTTAAAACATTAAGATACTTATCTGTTATGTTAAACATTTAGAGCTTAAATTGCTAGCTTAGATTTATAGCATGAAAGGTCGTGAGAAAAGGTCTTTATGCAAGCGCTCGATTTAAGAAAAGTCTGGAAACCACTGAAAAATGAGAAAAGAACTAGTAACTAGCTATCGAACAATGCTTAATAAGTGCATTCAAAGGTAAACGTTAAATAAAATTATTTTAGTTAAATTATATTTAGAAGTAATGGGCGGTCACAAAAAACCTGCTTATATTAGGCCTGATGGAAAGTATGACTTAGTGAAAGCCTTGGGTCGTGAAAATCTTGAATACTTGATAGCTAAGAAATCTATAGGTCCTAGGACAAAATTGAGAGACTTTTGTGTTTCGAAATCGTTATATTATCTTTTGAAGCAGCAACTTCAGAGACTGAAACGCGAAGATGAGTTAGCTGCTGTAGTGAGGAATGCCAAGAAATCTGCAGCTAAAATGCAAAAAATTGCCAAATTGAATCGAAATAAGTTGAAATGTCGTGCTGTTGATCCAATTTACATAAACGGATTATATGAACATGATGACAGCCCTGTCGCATTAAGCACTACTACATCATCGTCGTCGTCTGCTTCATCATCAGGCGACGAAGATACAAAATCTTTATCTTCTGGATCAGCTTCCTCGTTAAATGAGCTTTCGGTTTCTGATAAGTTTGCTTTACCAGCAGCAGCTAAAAAGAGGAAGTTGGTGGTATCTGAGCAGGAGGTAAACACATCTCAAAGTCCTTCGATTCCAAGTACATCTGCAGCAGAAGAAGAGGTTGGAGAAGCAGATAATAATTATTCTCTCCACGCATTAGATGAAGAATACATGAACTTGGGATCAAATAATAATCGAGCAGCCAGTCCCGATCGCCTTAAAGAAACAATTATCCAGTATATGGCCGAAATAAATCAAAAAGAATTGGACTATAATCAATCAAGTACTGACTGTTCACTCGATGATAATCCACCTGCTTCAAAAAGGAAACAAAATACGATGCTGCATTCATTCAATCAACACGGCCATAATTCGAATGACATTCGCAATAAGCCGCTATTTTTGGACTTAGTTATTGAACGCGCAGTATCTGATAAGCAGGAAGAAAGTGAATCAAAATCAGAAACTGGCAATAGCAGCTCTAGTAGTGATGAAGATGAAGAGCCTTTTAATGATGATGAACTACCTGCAAAAGAAGCTGCTATTATTCAAGATCATGCTGCATTTGTCAACAATTTCTTTAGCAAATATGCAGAAAACGAAATTGCTGATAATGATGCTGCTGTTGACAACGAAGAAAAAGTTATTTCTCCCGATGATCTGCATAATTTGAAATCAGTTATGGATCTGGAAATCAAAGTAAGAATGAAAGATATTGCTGCTAAACATCCAAAGAAAGAAATAACATGGGATAATCTTCTGAAACATGTTTTTTCACATTTGAACTTGCCAGAATCAAAAACAACATTTGTACTTCAAATGCTGTCGAGTTCGAAGCTTGATCCTAAACTGGCAGAATTGCCAAGGTCTGGAAAGGTATTAATGGAGCCATCGCGTCCTCAAATGGAAACTGCCAGATTGGAGTACATGTAAGTTTAAATAAAAACTATATATCTATTTTATACACTTATATTTGTATTACATATTTATACAGGCCAATACCGTGTGGTGAATTCGGTACATATGCACATTACGGATTGCTTGCTGGATTACTTGGATTTTCGATAGGATCAATTTCTAAAGACATCCGCTTTTATCTTGATGAACTGGTTACTCGATTTCCTGAATACTTTGCCAAAACTGTCATTGATACAAAACCATCCTTTGTGACTGGTAAACGGAACAAATACAATAAAGATTTATTGAAATGGCGCTGGCAAGTCATTCGTAGGAAGGCTGAATCAGTAGCTGCAGCAGCAGGTATGTGTGAATTCTAATATAATTAATGCTTAACACGGAATCAAAATGCTAATATACAGTAATGTATAACTCTTATTTGTTGACCTACTGTAATTCCGATTTACCATTACTTCTAGTTCTTACTTATATAGTGTAGATTAAATAATCTCATTTTGTTATATAATTTTTCAGCACTTAAAAGAAGTTATTTATGTACAGAGGCTGTTTCTGAAAACGTACCAGATTCATTAGCAGTGACGCTAGCAGAAATTCCTGCCTTGAAAGAAATTGCTTGTTCTGATGCTGTTAAAAATACAGAACAGTCTGCTGATGAAGTAGATGAACAAGAGGTACTTGAAGAAGACGAGTTTGAAGACCTGCAGTATCATTTGTCAAACAACGAACATTCACCGCGTAATTTAGATGTAAACCTAGGCGGAAGTGATGACAGCAATGAGGATTTTAGTGATGCTGATGATGAGGCTGAGGCTGAAACAGATTCAAATGAACAAAATTGCCCAATGCCATCAAACTTTCCGTCAGTAAAGAAGAAAAAATTAATTACAGTATCATCAGAATCTCGTCCAGCAACTACTGCTGCTACTGCTACTACCGAAAAATACAAAATACCATCAAAGGCAACAAAAAAGAGAGTCTTGGGTTACAATGTCAGCGATTTGTCGAATTCGGACTTGTACTCGACCAACGAAGAAAGACCAGAGCACATGTTCCGCAAATCAACCTCTGAAGACTCAGTTGATGAAGGTGTTGATGCCAATGAGGTCTATAAACGATTTATAGCTATTGGTCAGAAGCAAAATCATTGTCAGAAGTGTAAGGGAAGCAACAAAATCCCCCATCTTGTCTATGAAGTCAGCGCAGATGGAGTGCAAATCCAAAAAAAAGCTGCAAAATCCGCTTGTTGGCCAATAATGGGTCAATTATTGTATATAAGTCCTTGCACTCACCTAGAAAATTGTGTCCGCTTCTACATGCCACGAAATTCTAAACCGGTCATCATTGGTTTTTATCATGGAACTGCCAAGCCGTCCTGTCCTAATCAATTCCTGAAATGTATTTTCAAGGAAATGAAGTTAGCAAACAAACGTCGATTGTGCACAATGTTTTTGAAATTCTTCATCGGTGACGGCCCAGCCAGGCAGTTTATAAAAGGATTCCCATCTTCAAATGCCTATTGCGGATGTGAAAGGTAAGTCGAAATTAAACATACTGTTCTATTTTATTTTTTTTCTAATTTCATTAAACTCAATAATACTTAACTCCGACTTTTTTTTTGGAATACTATGCAATATGTTGAACCGACCTTCTGTTTGCTTCGAATACATCAGAAGAATGTTGTGTGGATCAGGAACTTTTTTGTGATACATGTCAGCATCCAGGTAATTTTCCTTTGTTCGCATCAGTAAATTTCGGGTTGGAACAATTGATAAATGGCCTCTTCGAGGTCCACCGGTCTTTTTGTTGATGCCTTTGCACAAGGAAACACCGCGTTCACCACATCTGAAGAAATAATCTGAAGAAGAAATCAACATATTGCATAGTATTCCAAAAAAAAAGTCGGAGTTAAGTATTATTGAGTTTAATGAAATTAGAAAAAAAATAAAATAGAACAGTATGTTTAATTTCGACTTACCTTTCACATCCGCAATAGGCATTTCTTCAGATGTGGTGAACGCGGTGTTTCCTTGTGCAAAGGCATCAACAAAAAGACCGGTGGACCTCGAAGAGGCCATTTATCAATTGTTCCAACCCGAAATTTACTGATGCGAACAAAGGAAAATTACCTGGATGCTGACATGTATCACAAAAAAGTTCCTGATCCACACAACATTCTTCTGATGTATTCGAAGCAAATAGAAGGTCGGTTCAACATATTGCATAGTATTCCACTTGATGCTATGCATACTGTGTATAGTTGTGCTGTTCCCTGGCTTTTTCATTACACATGGATTGACGGCAAGAAAGTGAAAGGTGGAAAATTCTCTAAAGCATTAATGGATTCATTGGAATTGAAGTTGAAGAAAGTGAAAGGATGTTTGCCATATGCCATCCAGGTCAACATTGGTACTAAACCATTCAAGAAATTTGGAATCACCTGGTCGTGTGCTGAAAAGCGAATTTTCCTCCTTTATGTTGCAATCGTTATTCTCAGGCACCCGTTAATGAAAGCCGAAGCATACAAAATTCTGCTTGCTTTTCAGCATGCCGTAATGTTGCTTGTTGGCTCTGGGCACAATTTGAAGGTGCCAAAAGAACACCTCAGGAAAGCAAGAGAGAATTTACTGTATTTAGTTGAGAAGTGTCAAAAGTTGTATGGCGCTGACTTCCCACGTTATACGTTTCATTGCTTGCTGCATATTGTCGATGATTTGATTGCGAATAATTGTCGACTTGAGTATTGCTGCATGTTTCGGTACGAGAACTCGATGAAATTCTTTATCCATGTGCTCGATGGAAGAGGCGGACATCGTGTCCATGCACAAATCCGCAACAGCTTGATGCGGAAAAAGATTTCAAACATTGTTCTGCCGCCAATGTGAGTTTTAATTCCAATTTAACTTAGACTTATTTATTTCTGACTTAATAATGAAAAGTGTAATTCTTACTTATTTTATCATAATTCTGACTTTTTATAAACAGTTGTCAAAGAAGACGTGCTCTACTAAAAGGCGGACAAACAGGAGCAGAAACAAACATTATACACCTTTCGAACTTCAATGAGAATGATTTTGGTGTCATCAACACAATTTCTACTGACCATCCATCAAATAAATTTTATCAAATGGGAGAGGAAGGAAACAAACCGAATGCCTATGAACTCCAAGTAACGCGCCATATGAAACGATTAATTTTTCGGGACTTTACGATCTCCAACAAATACCCGAACAATGTTGTTCTCGTCAACAGTTCTATTGGCAAGCCTAAAGTCTGCGTTGTTTCCGACATGCGATATGATGACGTTGAAGACAAATTTAAAGTTTCAATTTCTCCTTTCAAAAAACAAGGAGATTTCTTTGAAGGATATCCGTGCAATTCATCAGATTTCAATATTTTTCTCGTTTCTGGAGATTTAAATCATGACAGAAAACGCGAAGTTAATGCAGACTGCATAGAAAATCAGTTCGTCTGCCTCTTATATGAGAAAGAAGTTACTGACATTGATATCAATGCAAAAGAACAAATTCAATTTAACACAAAAAATGCACAGTGGGTATGCACTCCTTTGTTCCATGTTATAAATTGTCAGTAAATCTATTTTTCCATGTATTTAATATAATAAAGATAATAATAAGGTAAAAACATTTGTGTATTAAATTAAAAATGCGAAAACGAAATTCTTACTTATTTGGACTTACAAAAATTTTGAATCAATCCAATCTCCATTGGGAGACTTCATATAAATAGAGAAGAAAACAAAAAGTTCTAGAGTAAAGGTTCTAAATTTAGACTATGCAGGTCCGTAGCCTAAACTTTTTGAAGGTAGGGGAAAGTCTTTTTTAAAAAGGCGCCAAATATAAAATTAAAATAAAGGTGCCCAACAGCAATATTTTTTTAGCGCCTAATAATCATTTACTTTCGATAAGATTCAAAAACTCAATTAAATTACATCATTATTTTTTTAAAGATGCGCTCTTTTTATGGTGTGTACTAAAATGTTTTTTGAATATATGCTAAAATAATTTTTTACTTCGTTGAAATATTATATTTAAATCTTTGAGACGCTAAATAGGACAAGGCGCGGGGGAGCATGTGCTCCCCCTTTCACCCCCTCCTCTACCTGCTATATATGTTCCAATAATTATTTCAATAGTTGTTTGTACTATTCTACACTTGATTTAGATTAATATATTACAAAAAGAATTTTATTACACAAGATTCCTACTCTTATGCTATTGGCTGTAAAACAAAACTTAAATGACTTAGAAGTCTGCAACAATTAGTGTAAATACCATTCAAGCTGATAATATAATAAACTGAAAGAAAAAAACATTTTTAACCAAAACCACTTAAACTTCAAAATAGAAAATATGTTCAAGAACTAAAATGTCTGTCTTTCTCCATGGAACGTTTATACGCTTTTTTGCCAACTTTCATGGCAGCTTTTTTGGCAGCTTTTTCGAACACTTTCTCGTTGTGTTCAGACCTCTTCTTCGACTTCTTCTTCTGTTTAAAAAAAATGTCAACAGCTCTAATTTTTTTCTTAGTGTATTGATTTAAAATTAAAATTTACCTTTGGTTTTGGTATTACCTGAACTTCCTCAACTACGTCCTCTTCACTAGTTTCGCTAACTTCGCTATCTGAGAATTGCACCGGACTAACTGAGAATAGCACCGAATCTTTATCACTTTCTGTCCCTTCGTCACTCTTTTCTTCTTCGTCATTGCTGCTATTGCTCGCATCACTGTTATCACCTTCGGTTTCACTCTCGTCAGTATCATCACATGCTCGTGGACGCTTTTTCTTGGAAATAGTTGAACTTTGACCAGAATGTTTATTGCCACAACCTGGAGGTGAATCGTCTTCTGGCGCACCAATATCGTCATCATCCGCGTGGTAGGCTCGAATTTGTAGATACTCTTGGTACATGGAACGTGCCTGCATGTGTGTCAAATTTTGTAATCAGTTAGTAGGAATTACAAATTTGAGTTATATCAAAATTAGGATTTTGCCCACAAAAAAAAAAGGAAAAGTTTAAGAAATAGAGGATTTTTAGAAATATAACATTTATAATCACTTCGATCTTGCCTGCTGCAAATTAAATAGAATAACAAAGTATTAAAAAATGACGTACCTCAATCAATTGGTTTGTCATCGCCGGACAATCCAAGAATGAAACTCCTTCAGACATATTATTCATCGCTCTTTCTTCAATACGCTGAAAGCGATGAGCAAACGAACAATAATTCAAAAACTCCCTCCTCGGTTTCTCATTGACTCTTCGATTTGGTCGTCTACAACTTCCACCAGCAGTTTTTTCTACTGTATTATTTTTCTTCACGAATTTCTTCGCCTCTTTCTTAGCAGCTGCAGAATATTTCTTCGATTTATTTCGACTTGTTCGGCCCAATTTGTCACCAGCAAATCCTTCAGCTTCGTTTTGACAAATAGCACTTCTATTGGAGCAAATGAAGCACGTATTTCTTCGGACTTTCTGATCTTCTTTGAAATCTGCTTGATTAAATTCCGGTCCCTGGTCTATATCTTCAGAAAACATTGCCAAACACAATCTGCCGGGATACGCTGAAGAGGAGTCTTGAAAGTCCGTAATATACATTCCAGTAGTATATCTTCTGACGCTGACAGCCCTAGCTTTCTTAATTTCTTCATTCATTTTGAATGTTGACGGTGGTTTCTTTTCACTCAGCATTGCACGTCGCCGAATGATGTGGTAAATCATTTGGGTCAATCTCGGAAAACGTGATTTAAACAACAGCAATTTCTTCTTCTCCCCATCTTTCCTACCAAATTCTTTGAAGCCATCTTCCCTGCATTCATCAATGCTGGCCCAGGCAATGAGGCTGGATAAGCTTGGGGTAAAAAACTTATCCCACACGAACCCAGCCACCATTCCCACTGGGCCACCAGCAACCGAATTCGTAACGAAAATCATTAACAAGAAGCTGACATAATCAGCATTCTTGAACATTTCTTCGGCAACACATAAATCGCCAATTTTTGACAAAGGTAATTGGCAAATTTTTTGAATTTCGCTTGCCATGGAGAAGTAAAAATCACTGTTCCCATCGATTGTTAAAAACCTCCTATCGCGATTGAGAGTTGAAACCAAAAGCTGAAATTGATTTTTCAATAGTTTTTGGTCAACCTGAATGTCTTTGACGGTTGTTAGCAGATTTAACAAAATTCCACTTCCAGATGGATTTTCATTCATATACTTGATGACCGAAGCGCATGTGTTATTGAGATCAATATTGCTGACTTGACTGCTGGTCACCATATTTTGAGTGCTCATAGTTGAAAATAGATCTTGCATTTCTTTGTCCCGGGGTATGGCAACAACAGGAACAGAGGTATAACCTCGGGTTGGAACAATTAATCTAGTTGGAGATGGAGTTTTGGGGACAGCAGTCACTATGCTCTTATTATGTACAATAGGTTTCAGAATTGCTGGTTGTTGTGGAGGAATTGAAAAATCGAATGAAGTTGGTTGAGCGAAATCAGATCCACTGTCACTTTTCGTTTCTGCATAATTAATTACAGCAGAACCAATATTGCGTCTACTGGCCCTGGTTTCTTGTTGAATAATTGGTGAAGCAACTGCGGATGGTGGTGGTAGGAGATTTCGTTCAACAACAACATCAAGAACTTCTTGCCCTTGATTAGTCAATTCTATATCTGAGCTGCTTGGAATACTGCCAGGTTGAGGACTGTCAAAGTCAGAGTCACACAACCTTTGACTGTCATGTGTTCCTGAAATTGAATCCACAAGAGCTTGCAATTTTGGACCAGCTTCGTCATCTTCTGTAAAATTTAAAATATCAAAATAAGTATATTTCGGAACACAGAATTAGGAGAAAAAATCGTTTCATGAAACTCAGAATTAGAAGAAAAATTAAATTTATATAACCCAGAATTAGGAAGTAAATTATAATTTCATGCAAATTAGAATTGAGGAAAAATACTAACCTTTCGGAAATAAGTTAATTTGTTTCATCGCTTTGTCTGATTTGTAAGATATAACAGAAGCCAATTTTTGTTTTGCTGATACTGGTGGAGTTTTCATTTTTATGGTCTGCTGCTTTCTCAATTCTGTTTTCTCAAGCAATTTTTTCGAATCCTTGGGATTTTTTTCTGCCAATTTATTACCCTTCACCAGCTTCTTATACTTCGGTTCTAATTTGTCAGCAGAGGACATCACCTCATCAAAAAACTTGCGCTTCAAAGATCGAGATTGACTGGTAGGAGCATCTTGGTCAAAAATGTTGATTGCAGATGGTAATTTTCTGTCAACAGCTTTTATTCCACTTTTCACTAGAAGCTTTTTGAATGTGTTAGTTGCTTGTTTCTCCGACGGTTTAGATTTATTGCTCGGCGCCTCGGAATCACTCAAAACTCGACGCATTAGTATTTTCTTACAATCTCCCATAAATTGCTTCCAATTCGTTGCTGAAAACAAAAAGGAAAGAAGAAAAATGAAATGTAATACAATCATTACTCATGGTTCACCAATAAAGGAGTAAAACTCATTATGTAATTAAATCTGTTCAGCTGAACAGATTTACTTATTATTTGAAATGTTCAGACACAAAATGGCATTCAATTTGTGACTACCATTTTTTTGTTGATTATAATACATTTTTAAAGTGCACATTTTGTTCATTAACACAATCATCAAATCTACAGAAAATATTAGCACCAAACAGATTTCGAATTTGTGCCTTGCAAAAAATGAATATTTGTAATGAAAGTACATGAATTTCTAAGAAGTTTTATGGCTTCAAAGATAGATAACAAGCAATGCATTTTATTTTTATTTGAAAGAGTCTTAATTTTTTCAAGAGCATATTGTTCAAATTTACAGTAAAATTATTATTTATTTTTGATAGGTTTCAAAATCATCTTAATTTTGGGCCATATATAACTCTCTCGAACAAAAATACATTTCATACATAAAAGAATCTTATGGAATTCAAATTATACTTACGATTTCGAATGTTGAATTTTGTGCTACTCGATGGGTAACACAAATATTCTTTAAAATTGATCCTCGGAAACCAGTCCTTGGTGTGAAACTTTTCAATCGTAGTAAAAGTGTAGGCATCATCAGGAGGGAACAAAATGAAATTGCCACACTCTGATTGCCAGATAGACGAAATTGGAGTGGTGTAGAAAGTAGCAGCACTGCTACGTAAATTTTCTGGCTTTCCATTATATTCAGAAGGAACAGGAATAATATTTGAAGAATTTACAACCGCCCAAGCATGTTTTTTATTGCGCTCATAATGAGCGTCGCAATCAAAATTATCTCCAATCATTTCTTTCAACATGTATTTTCCACAAAATCTCTTCGGATCGTTAGCTAAGATCCTTTTTACAAGTGGTCTAGACGGCACGATTGGTTTTCCATCACTATCAAAGGCTTTTTCAGTCATATTTCAATTTTTTAGAAAACCTGTGAAATAAGTTTCAAAAATTAAATGAAAATTATAACAATTCAAACAGAAAAAGTAACTACAAAACTGAATTTACACAAAAATAAGGTACTGGGTAAAATATTAACTGCAAACTATTTATATTTTACGTACAATATCATGTGCAAAAATTTGAACTTTGTTGCAAACAAATCTTCATCATTTGTTAATGATGTACTATTTTATTTATCGTTTACTGTCAAATAAATAATTTAGCGTTATGTTGAAAAAACGATTTATAAGAATATAGGAAAATTAAGTGAAACTAGACTAATACAATATGAATGAAATAAATGAAACTCATACGTAAAAGTTAATAAAAAAAATCCGGAAAATATGCATAACGAAATAAAAAATTCTTCATAACTCTTCTACAAATTTATATATTAAAAGGAACATTCAAAAAGAGGATATAATATTGAAAACAAAACATTCCATGTACACTTTGTGCTATAACTATAAATATATACTATACACATGTTTTAATTGTTAAATAATTAGTTAAAACTTTCTACATATATAATTTTTACAATTTAACTATAAAGTTTTCTAAATAAAGTTTTTGTACTTAAAGAAATATGTGTTGCCTATCATTTAAAAGTATTTACAGTTTCAATTTAATATTTATTTACTTATTTCAAAGAGAGAAAAACAAAGTACCTGAAAACATAGGGCGTTACATATTTATATATATATATATATATATATATATATATATATATATATATATATATATATATATATATATATATATATATATATATATATATATATATATATATATATACATATATATATATATATATATATATATATATATATATATATATATATATATATATATATATATATATATATATATATATATATAGTATATATTACTGTTACCTGCAGTACCAGGAATTAGCTAAATAGGAGGCAGCAGAATATACTTTTTACTACTTGCCTTATGACTGTGATAACACTTGAAACTTGGATTCACACATAATAATTCCTGGTATCAGTAATATATATTATATAGCTCTAGTATATAGTGTCTATGTATATATACTATATAGCTCTACTATATAGTGTCTAGTGTAGTGCATATACAATATTATACATGACAATACAAAGATATTATCTTTAATATCCACATATATACACTTACATATTTGTATATGTATACATATACATATATATATATATATATATATATATATATATATATATATATATATATATATATATATATATATATATATATATATATAATATATATATATATATATATATATATATATATATATAATATATATATATATATATTATATACATGTATATATAAATATATATATATATATATATATATATATATATATAATATACATATATATATATATATATATATATATATATATATATATATATATATATATATATATATATATATATATATATATATATATATATATATATATATATATATATATATATATATATATATATATATATATTGTTTAACAAGGTTAAAAATATTCTTAATAATTAACAACAGAGACTCATATATAGTTTATATGATATAATATATATGAGTCTCTGTTGTTAATTATTAAGAATATTTTTACTAATATTTTTTTAAATATTTTTATTATTCTTTTTATTACTGGTAATAAAAAGAATAATAAGATAAAAACATTTATGTATTGAAATGCGGAAACATAATTATTACTCATATGGACTTGAAAAGATTTTGAATCTATCTTATTAACGCGAAATTAATGCGAAATATTTATTTAACTTCTAATTCCCACTAATCAGCCTTAAAAAAGATTTTATATTCGAAAATTGTCAAAAAATTGCTCTAATTCCGACTTATAATAGGTTTTTCGCACTTTTTTGAGTCTAATTCCGAGTTGCGTTCTATTAGGGATGTATGTCAAAATGTATATATGTAAGTAAACGTGCTATGTGCGTCAAAATATGATCACCATCAAAACGTACTATGCATGTACATTAGTGCTGCTGTACATTATCAAGGTATATTATGGATATTAAATCTATTCATAGTCTATAATTAGACTATTTAGAACTTTTTCAGTTTAGTTTAGTTAAAATAATTAGGTATGATTAAAGAAAGAGATAAAACTTGTTTTATTCAAAAATACATATTCAAATATTACATATATTTACATGTAATTGAATAAAATCTACACAAATTTCTTCTCTTTCCTACCACCTTTTTGAAATAAAGCGTAATTTAGAAAGTCAAACAATGTTCCATTAACCGAGGGTTCTTTTGGTCCATTGAGTACAATATAATAAGCTGTAAATAAAAAAATATATTAAAAAAAAACAAAAAGGGAAGATTTAAAAAATAAATAATGAATGGAAAAGTGTTACAACTTATGAAGGTATATCTTTTTTAATGCCATATAGATTAGTTTCCTTAAAACATATTTTTCCACCTTTGCCCTTCATATCCATGGAGGCCATATAACTTTTCGAAAATACTCTGAGTTTTTAAAAAATAATATAACTGTTAGTTGGTTATTAATAACTTTTTCAAATATTTAATTTAAATAAAACAACCTTCTTAATATATTAAAAATAAATTAATAATCAAAATATAAAACGTTTCTAGCATTAAAAAATAATTTTCGGGGTCGCTACATAAAATTTTTATAAGAAATTTTATGTGGCCATTTATTAATGGTTTAACGTCCATGTTTATACACTTATAGGGCTTCGCAAAGGATCAAATAATGTCATTTGTTATGTTAAATAGCATGCATTTTCTAAAGCAATTTTTACAATTCCATGCACTTTAAGGCGTTAACCAGTTTTGCAGACCGAGAATGGGTATTTTGAACATTATACATCCATCAAAAATTAAAAAAGGAAGAATTAATGAGGAGCTTTGATCAAATTTTTACCTCTTTAGAGGATAATAGATGATTTTAGAAGTGGTTTCAAAAAAAGAGGACTTTAGAGGATTTTAGAGGAGCTGCAGACACCCTGATTATAAATGAGGTAACTCCGCCAATTAACTGTAATTGATTTATCTGTAAAAAAACATGAAGTAAATCTAATATTATGCTTGTGGAGATATATTATATTGTGGAGAACCATCCAAACCACACAAGTGGAAAATTTGCATCCAAGTTTCCACTTGTGTGCAAATCTTGCATCCACTTGTCAACATTCTCATTATAACATTTTTCTTTTGTACCCACTGAGAAAAATGAGCTCTTCAAAGAGCTCTTTTTATAGTAATTTAAGAGCTTATCCAAGAACTCCTTTAAGAAGTCTTAAACGATCAATCCGCCAAGAGCTCTTCTAGGAGAGCTCTGAAGAGATTTTGTTAAAGAGTGTTTGAAGAGTTCCATCAAGAGCTCTTTTTTAACTCTTCTTACTAAGCTATTTATTTGGTTTTCTCAGAGCTCATCTAGGAGCTCCTTGAAGAGGTTTTAAACGAGACTGTCCTGCAAGAGCTATTCTAGTAGAGCGCTGTGTAGTGTTTGTTAAAGGGCGTTTGGAAAGCTCTACCAAAAGTTCTTTTTTTGACTCTTAAGAGTTAAAAAAATGGAATTGGACTTGGAATTAATTATTTGCGCGTTTAAGCATGGCAGTACTAGAAATGTACTATGAGATAAATCTTATAGTACATACTATATGATACATCTCAGTACATATCTAAATATACTTTATATACTACAACATCTTTAATAGATCCATGGTTTAAATGAAGAAGATTTAATCTTTACATTAAAAAAAGAGTAATAAAGCGTGATTGTTTTAAAAATTCTTGTTTTATTAATAAAATATTATAAAAAATTACCATTATTATTTATATAGTATTAATATTATTACATGATATCAATATTTACTTAAAACATAATCTTCCGCTTTGTTTTTAAGATTCGTTATTACTTTCTTTCTCACTACTTTACTATTTTCTTTCTTCTATTCCTCCATTGAAACTTCTGTCTTATCACAGCAAGTCGTTAGAGCGATCTCTGGTGTTATTAACAAATCGTGCAATCCCTTTTGTCTTGGTGCCGGTGAAAACTTGAATAGTTGAAGCTATAAATACGTTATTTTAAAATAGTCACTATTTTTTTACTATAAAATTAACTCTATAATTAAATATAATTCATTATAGTTATGCTTAAATTTACAGGAATAAGAGAATGCTCCATGATTATACCATGGCCAATGAGAGAGGCTAGAGCAGACGAGAAATAATACCTGGGCCAAATAATGCTTTTTGATATTGGATAATATTTTTCAACATTCACCCGAGGTGCAATGTACAATTCTTGATTCTCGTTGGAGCAGTCTTTTAATTGCTTCAAAACAGTTTTCCATTTTTATTGCTGAAACTTGGTCTTATAAAATCAATAGATTACAGAAGAATTTATAAGGATGAAACAATATTGTTTAATGTTTTATATATATATATATATATATATATATATATATATATATATATATATATATATATATATATATATATATATATATATATATATATATATATATATACAGGGTTCGTAGGCACATATTTATAAAAATTTCCCTGACTTTTCCCTGACTTTTTTGAAAAATCAGATGAATTTCCCTGACCATTTTTAACATTTGCAATGGTTTTTATAAAATGGTAAAAATTACTACTGTAATGAAAATGCTAAAATGTACATGCTTAGAATGACAAAACTTATAAAACTTAGCTATTAGTTAAGTTGGATGTTAGTATAGATTTTATTATGCATATTATTAAGGATGACTAAGAATAAACAACAGGTGAGCTTCTTAAAAAATCTAAATATTATGCACATAAAATTTAGTTTCAGATGATCTTCAAGAAAATCTAAATATTATGCACATAAAATATTTTATATATAATTATTATTCACTAACACAAAAATAAACTATAATGTCTATGTAGATATCTTTCAACATTTTGAGCAATATTTGGTCTATAACAGAGACTACTTTGGGTTAGTTGTTTTTCATCACTATTTGTAGCTGTACCTTTGCGAATTCGTTTCTCCGCGCAGCGGCCTTGTTCGTCAAGGTTCGTGTTTCGGAGTTATAGAGTTGAGAGAGGGTTATAGCCACAAAATAAGTAGCCTCCTCGTCTGTAGTGGCCGTCTCGGCCTTGAGGAGGTGAGTCAAAATAAAAAAAAAAAAAAAAAAAAAAAAAAAATTCACTAATACCTTTAGATAAAAATAGCACAGTATAACAAAACATGCTTAGAAACATTAAAAAAAAAACTTTTAATTAATTTTAAATTGCATATATTTTTTAAGCAAAATCTTATATTGAAAATATAATTAAAGTTTTTTAATTAGCCATATTTGCAAAAATGTCAACATAAATAATATTTTATATAAACAAACAAATTGTCAAAAAGCAACTATTGTTAATGCAGTTTCTTTCTCTTCTCTTCTAATATCAATAATGTTTCCTGCAACTTAGCTACGTCTTTCATTTTCTCCTCGCTTTTCCTTTTTAAAGCATTCGCTTTGCTGACCAATGATAAATTGTTTTCTTTTTCCGTTTGTTCCACAGTTAAGATTTTAACATTTTAGATTTTAGCTCTTCAATTTCAGACAAAATAATGGCTTTCTGATCTAACATAGCATGTTTTTTATTCTTTGACTTCTCTTCCTCAAGCATGATCTGGTATTTTTGATGAGCAGATATAAACTTTCATGAAGCCAATGTCATTAAGTTTAGATAATTCATGCTCTTCACGTTTGCTTTGAATGTCTCTGTGAAATTTCAAGTTGACACTGGGTCCATCCATAGAGACCTGAACAATTTTGCTGATATTAATATCACTTATCTTTTCATTAAAATGATTTACCAAATCAAGACTAGTACTATGTCCCATAAATGAGGAATCCCAATACCTCACTTCAACTTCCATTTTTTCCTCATTCCAATACTGGATGAGTAAATCCATTTGACAAGTTTGAGTTTTTTTGTTGAGGGATTCATCAAAGGATACGACAAGCCAAGGAGACAGGCTCATTTGTTGTTTAAGTAAACCTTTAAAATAAGGCCCAAGACTATGAGTGATGCTATATCCGACTTTATTTGGTCCCATTTGTAAAGATTTAGCAATCTCACAGTCAGGAAACATTGCTTGAAACAAATTTGTCACATTTTTGTTCGAATTGTTAGAAATTCTATTTAAGCAACAATGCAATGCCCACATAATTTCTGCACAGATTTTATTAGCATTTGATACGATGAGTTCTAAAGATTGCTGCTTCATTTGTCCTGTTGAGAAACTATCAGTTGTCTTTAAATTTGACTCTTCTACTGAATTAGGTGAATTAGTATTTTTAGAGCCAGATGATTTAAAAAAACAAGAGAAATTGCTTGCAACTGAAACATGTTTTTTTCCTTTCTCGTGACTTTTTATTGCTTGAATACCCATGTTTGAAGGTTCAATTATTTTATTGCATAATTTGCATCTTGCCTGGGTGTTATTTTTTTCTTTCATTAGCCAAGAGTCAAAATGAGGGTAAATGTCTTTATTTAACCATTCTTCTTTTACATAAGCTTTTTTTTCTATTTTATTCATTATTTTAATTCTAAAAATGGAAACAAAATATTTCAAAATGATTCATATTTATAACATAGGGCACTGTAACAAATTTCATTGTATTAACTTTAAAAACCTTTTTTTAATTTTCAAAATTCATTTTCACAAGGATTTTAATCTAATAGTCATTGTAATGCTTATAGAAACCATTACTTTTTTAATAAAAACTTTCAAAAGTTTTCAACAAAGTTGAAAATCTTTGAAACTTTCTGTAACTTATGTAACTTAAAATAAAAAAAGAAGTTTTTCGCTTTAAAGACACAAAAATGTTTAAAGTTAAAGATGCTGTTGTTTATAGAATTAATTACAGAAATAGTTTTAAACGATTGAAATTGATCATAAAAAATTAGTTTTTTTATAATGAATAAAAAAAGGAATTATTTTTTTTATAATAAATAAAAAAAAGAAACATACACTATTATTGTAAAAATAAAATAATAACCATAGACAATTCAAATAAAATATTTTTATTGATTAATATTTTAAAACAATTGTTAGTAATAAGAGCGTTTTGCCGATTAAAATACATTTAAAAATATTCAAGTTTTAAAAAAGTTAAAAAGCCGTGGTCAAATTTTTAAAAATAAAATATTATATGTGTGGTAAAGGTGTGAAACACTATAGGGTATTTTTTAATTGTCAAAATAAATGGGAAGCACCAACAAAAACATAATAGCTTATTTGTAAAACGAGTAGTTTCTCAATCAGAATTCCCTGACTTTTCCCTGACTACCTAGAAAAAAAAAAACTTCCCTGACTTTTCCAGGTTTTCCATGACTTTATCCAAATTTGGCTGATTTTCCAGGTTTTCCAGGTACAGTACGAACCCTGTATATATATATATATATATATATATATATACATATATATATATATATATATATATATATATATATATATATATATATATATATATATATATATATATATATATATATATATATATATATATATATATATATATATATATGTATATATATATATATATATATATATATATATATATATATATTTATGTATATATATATATGCATATATATATATATATATATATATATATATATATATATATATATATATATATATATATATATATATATATATATATATATATATATATATATATATATATATATATACAGAATTGTTTGCAGTAAATCTATAACAAACTCACATTTTCAGCAAATTTTTCCAGGTAATCAAAATACTTGTGTTTGCTATGAGTTCCGAAGCCATTGATATTTAGATAAATGTGCACATAACATGTGGATTAAATATGTTAAACAAGACGATTTATTAGAGAGAATTAAACAATTAGAATTAAAGCTAAACTTTAAAGAAGAAAGAATTAAAAATCTAGAAGAAAGAATAATAAAATTGGAAGAGGAAAACACTTCTAATAAAAACAATCCATGTATAATAAATGATAAGGCGTGGAATGTCGTCGCCAGCAAAAATAGTATAAAGACTCCATTACAAATAGATATTATAAATACAGAAGCAATTAAAACAGCTGAGAGAGCTAGAAGAGAAAACAATGTTATTGTTTATGGTTTAAATCATTCCGCAAAAAGTGATCTAAATGAACGAAAAGAAGATGATAAAATAGAGGTATTAAAAGTCATAAAAGATATAAATTTAGAAAGTGTGCAAATCAAAAGAATTACAAGATTACGATCAAAGGATACGTCACAAAAGTCCCCAGTTATTTTAGAACTTGATAACGTGCATGCAAGAAACCAAGTGCTAAAAGCAGCTTTTTGTAACAGGGATAAAATACCAAATATTTACTTTAATACTGACATTACTGAAGCAGAAAGAATTTTAACGAAGCAATTAAGGTCTGAAGTTAAAATTTTAAACGGAAATTCGGACATGAACAATAGCTCATTTTATTATGGTATAAGAAGTAATAAAGTAGTAAAACTGACTAAAAAAACATAGCAATTTGAGTATAAAGTGGCAAACAAAATAAGTAACATTCTAATGTTTAAAAGAACTGTAACCGGTATCCAAGATTTTAAAATTAAAATAAATGATAATGCACAAAAGCCAGTTATAAGTACTGGATACAACTCAAATAGTTTGAAATGTTTATATACCAATGCTACATCATTTGAAAAAAATAAATTAAATGAAGTTATAGCTGAAATGGAAATAAGCTCTCCAGATATAATTTTCATAACAGAAACATGGTGGAATGATACTTCAGCAACAATTATACCTGGTTATAACCTTTATCGCAGAGACCGAATGAATAGCAGAGGTGGTGGAGTCTGTATTTATGTAAATGACTTAATTGATTCGTTTGAAGTCAATAATGAACCCTATAATAATAAAAATATTGAGCAGATATAGTGTACCATTAAAATGAACAATGAATGCATATTATGTGGCTGTATTTATAGACCAGGAAGTGATGATTTAGTAAACTTTCAAAATGTAATCAATTCTATTAAAGAAAGTTACAATTACTTCTCAAAAACTAAAATATATACTGAGGTTTTGATATGTGGTGACTTCAATTTTCCATCCTTGAATAGTATATGGAATTCTAGTTATGAAAGTGTCTGCATTGGAGAAAAAGAGAGACAGTTTCTAGAATGCATTGAAGAAAGCTATCTCACACAACATGTAAAAAAACCAACATTTCAATTAAATGACACAAAATTAACAAATATATTAGATTTAGTATTTACAGCTTCTCCTTTTCGCATATCCAGCTTGGTACATATGGATCCTTTGGGAAAAACAAAAAGAGGTCATCATGTTTTAAATTTTAATTTTAATTATCAATTACATAACCGCAAAAATGAAAGTATTACTACAAAGCGAGTATACATGAAAGGAAATTATCATGAATTTTCAAAATATTTAAATAAATTTAACTGGAGTCATGAGTTTACTGGACTTAATGTTGATCAGTGTTATGAAAGTTTTATTAGAACTATTGAATACGGCTGTAAAGATTTCATACCGTCATTTAATCAAAAAACAACTGAAAGCAAAAGATCCTTATGGATGAATAAAGTAATAAAACACAAAATTCGACTTAAGCGTAACCTTTGGTATCGATACAAAACCTCTCATTTCAAAAATTTAGATCTTAAGGAAGAATATAAACTAAAAAATAAGTTAGTTAAAAAACTTGTAAAGATTACAATACAAAAATATGAAAATAAAATTGCAACAGAATCAAAAAAAAATCCAAAACAAGTTTATGCTTATATTAACAGTAAACTAAAAGCTAAAGACCATATAAGAGCAATTTCAATGAAATATCAACTGACAGTCAAGTTATTGCTAATCAGTTAAATCGGTTCTTCAATTCTGTATTTATAAACGAAAGCCTAACTAATATGCCTACATGTGAAAATATAACAGAAAAAATTTGCCCAACCCCATTGTTTAATGAGAAAGATATTAAAAAACGATTATTGAATCTAAATGTGCACAAGTCCCCAGGTATCGATAGAATTTATCCAATGTTTTTAAGTAAGTGTGCTGACAGTTTAACTAGACCACTCTGTATGATATTCAACCAATCATTTCTAACTGGAACATTGCCTATATCTGGTTAAAAGCGAATATCACTCCAATTTTTAAAAATGGGGATAGGTTGAATGCAGGCAACTACCGTTCAATTTCATTGACCTCTGTTGTTTCTAAAGTAATGGAAAGTATTGTTAAGAATACAATAATGAACCATTTAAATAAAAATAAGTTATTAATACCAGAACAACACGGATTCATTAAATCAAAAAATTGTGTAACAAACCTTCTCGAGACATTAGACAATAACAGAAGCAGTAAATTGTGGAAAATGTGTTGATGTTGCCTTTTTAGATTTTTCTAAGGCATTTGATTCAGTTCCGCATTCCAGGCTGCTCTTGAAACTAAAGTCATTTGGTATTGTTGGAAAATTGTTGCAATGGTGTAAAGCTTTTTTAGCAAATCGAAAACAGAGAGTTGTTTTAGGACTGTTTGAATCAGAATGGGAAACAGTTCGTAGTGGGGTACCACAAGGATTGGTCTTAGGACCCTTACTTTTTATAATTTATATAAATGATTTAACAAAAAAGTTGAATAATAAAGCAAAACTGTATGCAGACGATTTAAAAATAATTGCAGTTCTAGAAAAAAATAAAATAAATAACTCTCTACAGTTTGATCTTGACATCTTATTTAACTGGACGAAAAGATGGCTTATCAGTTTTAATAAAGATAAATGTAAAATCATGCATTTTGGTCGTGATAATCCGAAAATAAAGTATAATTTAAAATATAATGCTACAGAAACAGAGATTATTCAACATGGACTAATAGTAACGTCATTGGAAAGAGACCTTGGTGTTTATATTTCAGACAATTTAAAATGGGAAGACCACATTGAAAAAATGGTAAGTAAGGCGAATCAAAAATTGGGTATGTTAAAGCACGCAATCCTCTATCCAGATGAAACATCAACAAAATTGTTATATATGTCACTCGTTCGGCCACACTTAGAATATGCTTTTCAAGTGTGGAACCCATATTTTATTAAAGATATAAACTTAATAGAAAAAATTCAGCAAAAAGCTACAAAATTTGGCTACAAAAAAAAGAAAGACAGTTACGAGCAAAGATTAGAGAAAATGGACTTACAAAATCTATCAAATAAAAGGGAAAAAGGTGATCTTATCCAAATGTAGAAATTCATGAACAAAATTGATACTATCAATTGGCATCGTGAACCAGAAGTATTGGGTAGGCTAACTAGAGGACACAATCAAAGGTTGCGAAGGCAGCATGTTTAAAACTTTTTGCCGAGGCATCATTTCTTCACGAACCGTAAAGTTGAAAATTGGAATCGTTTGGACAGTGAAGTTGTTAACGCTAATTCAGTAATTGATTTTAAAAATAAACTTAAAAAGTTTAGCGAAAAACAGTTGTTAAAATCTAAGATCTACAGTTGTTAGATTCTTTCTTGAAACTCTCAAGAACACAGCTTCAATTATTATTATTATTATTATTATAATACTGGGGGATTGAGAAATACTGAACCATTAAAAAAGTTAGTCACTGTACCATTAGAAGTCACTGTACCATTGAGAAATACTGAACCATTAAAAAAGTTAGTCACTGTACCATTAAGTACATTTGCAAAACTACTTGGAAAAGATGGCGACCTAGAATCCTACCAAAACAATTTATATCACAAAAATACAGTTTTACAAGTTGACGAGTTTTTAATCCGTTGTGAGCAGCCAGAAAAAGAAGTTCTTAATTTGATTGACAGTGAAAAAAAAAGGCAAATAAGTGAAAATAGAGAAAGAATTACACCTATTATAAAGTCAATAATTTTTTTAGCAAGACAAAACATTCCTCTTAGAGGGCATAGAGATGATGGAGATCTATTAACTGATACTATTTTAAAAACATCTGTTATTAATAAAGGGAACTTTAGAGAACTTTTAAGATTTCGAATAAAATCTGAGATAAGATTTAGAAAATCATCTTAACACAACTCATGCTAAAGCTACATATATAAGTAATATTATTCAAGAAGAAATAATAGAATCCTGCAAAGAAGAAATTATTAATAAAATATTGTCAGATATCTTATTTATAAGAAGGTTATCTACCATCTACAGTATTAGATGGCTTGGATTATTGTCCAGATATATTGTTCCCAAGTATAAGAACAATACTTTTAATTATTGGTTGTCTGCCTATTAGCATTGCATCATCTGAAAGAAGTTTTTCTACTTTGAGAAGGTATATCTACATTAAAAATTACATTATTAAATTAATAACCAAATAATCTTATTTTTTAACTAAAATGAATTTAAACCTAGATTAAAAGATTGGTTACGATCCCGAATGAGCCAAGATAGATTGAATGGTTTAGCTCTAATTTATGTTCATAGGGAAAAGGAATTGTCAACAGATAGCATTATTGAACGGTTTTCAAGAGTTAAAAAAAGAAACATTGAATTTATATTATAATGTTGCATTTAGTTTATAGATAAACGGTTCGTTTTTGTTAATACTTGTATGTTTCTATTTTAAAGATGGTTTCGGGTAAAAATTGATAGCGATTCAATTTTTGTAGATAACAACTAAAAATTAATAAACAGGCGATCTTAATAAGCTTGGTGTGTGTAGATAAATTTTCGATAAATTAAATCCATTAAATACGTTAAGCAACTTTTTTACTCCCATTGTAACGCTTTTGTGACAAGTTCCGTACGAGTCGTCATAAAACCACTTAACCCTCCCCCTCCCCCTAGAATGTGACGTAATTTGAAAATGACTCTTTTAGTAAATTTTTGAACTCTAAATAGCGAGTGATAAAACTCGCCCCTGTCAATATGCCACTTCCTCAACGTTGTCAAAGCAACGTTTTATTAACGTTGGAAAAGTAACACTTTTTCAACGTTTTTTAATTTACTACATTTTCAAAGTTGGTATATGTAACGTTGAATAAGCGTTGTTTTATAAATAGCTTAAATACGTTAAAAAAGCAGCTAATGTCTAACTTTGATAAACCATAAACTTTGCGACGTTTTTACAGTGATTATTTGCGGACTTTAATTCAACGTTGAATAAACGCAATTTTTTGAGAAGATACATTTAAATTTATACGCTTATTCAACGTTGAAAATGTAACGTTTAAAAAGCGGTTTGTTTTTAACGTTGATAAAGCATATTGGCTTTATTCCGTTTTTTAAGTGGCTTTTTGAGAAAGTTGATTCCACGTTGAATAAACGTTTTATTTTGGAAAGTTAAATTACGTTACAATTTCAACGCTTATTCAACGTTTCAATTTACCGCGATTTAGTATACAAAAAAAGACATTGATTCAACGTTGAAAGCACGTTGTTTTTGTGACTGTAACGCTTTTTCTATGCTGCGACTTGTTTTCAACGTTAATTCAACGCTGATATGTTTGCTGGGTATCCATTTAAAAAACAATTTCACACACACAAACAAAAGAAAATATGACATGCTTTCAAATTTCTCAAATCACTGCATTTAAAAAACTTGAAAACATGTAATATAAATAATGCTGCAAATAAAATTTAAGAAATTTGAGAAATGAAATTTTAGATAATAATAATATATTATTAAATTATTATTATTACACACACAAACAAAAGAAAATATGACATGCTTTCAATTTTCTTAAATCACTACATTTAAAAAATTTGAAAACATGTAATATAAATAATGCCGCAAATAAAATTTAAGAAATTTGAGAAATGAAATTTTAGATTGAACTTCAGACTGATTTTCTGAGCTATTAATAAGTTTGAGGTATGTTAATGTTTATTTTTTTTTAAACTTTTAAAATGTTATATCAAACTGAAGGCATATTCTGTAATTATGCAATAGATAAATGTTGAAATTTTTTTTAAATAGTTTATATATTTTATAGTGCTTACAGTAATGGCTTAGTGTGTTTAATTTTAACCACGACAACTGAGTTATGGCTGAGATTTTAACTGGGTAAAAGATGGGCCCCATATGTTGCAAGGATTGCGGCAAAGATTATGCTTAAAAATATGGTAAAATCTTTTAAAATGACATACAGTAATACAGTTTGATTTAGATTGAATATACATTTGCATTTGAAATGAACTTAATTTAATTCATTTTTAGTATTTTTTTGAAAAATAATTATTAACATATCAGTTGTAATTCTATAATAAAAGTATGAATATGAAAGTATGTAAAAAAAACTATTCTTGATCTAAAAATATGTGCCATCATAATAACATTCACATTTTTTAGCAATTCACAGTCAATCTTGTGAATCTTCTATTCTGTGAATCTTCTATTCACAGAATATATCGATTCATAGAAGCCCAGGTCAAAAACCTGTATATTTCAATATACAGAAATTTTATTTTATTTTATCAAACGCAGTAAACTAATAGTTTGAGATATTAAAACTCGGGGAAAGTAAAACTTTCTGAAACAAAAATATTCAAAATAATGTTATCAAATTAAGTGTAAACCTACTAGATTTAGATGAATTAGAAGATTTTACATAACTTTTATGTGTAAAAAACTAATATGTGTTGAAGTAATATATTTTCTGTTGTTAATCATAAATCAATACAAACCAACTCAACATAGATACTGTTGAACCTCTTAAATAAATCTAATAAAGTTTTATTAAAATTTAAAATTTAATAAAGTTTTACACAAAAAAAAAATCATAATTAAAAAATATATTACCAAAAAAATTTGTTTTATAACTTTGTAAATAAATATATTATATATGGCTATATGATATGATATAACAACACAATGAAAATTGACTTACTATAGCAAGTGAAAAATACAAAACATTATTCAAGTAAACATTATAAATACATTATTGAATAATCATTATTCATAATTATTCAAACATTCAGTTTTTGGAATGCATTTTTTTGCATGTATTTAGTATCAAAACTACATTTTCAATTTTATATTGCACTTGAGTAGCATTTTATGATTGTATATTTGATTTATTTCACAACATACTCTATAAAAATTATAACATCTTGTGATAATTAATTAGAAAACATCTTAATACCTAAAAACTCAACATTTTCTTCTTTTAGACTAGCCAAAATGTTTTTTAAACACATATCAGAATATTGCTATCAAAATATATACACTTTTATATTTTAAAGAATTTGAAAAATGTTAAACCCTCACTAACTGATTTAAGGGTTGAATGTCATGTTAATTTGAGTCAAGACTTTAAAATTTAACTGGTAACATAGTAGTCATATTATTATTGTTTACAAGTCTATTTATGTCATGCCTAATTAATAACATTAAACGTTTACAGTAAAATAACTTTGTTTTAGATTCCCTGCAGGATGTCTATTAAAAAGAAAAACTGAAGAAACTTTAAACTAAATGAAGGCAATTTAAAAGGTTTAATCTAAAAAACTAGTGTAAAAGTGGATGAAAGCACTAAAGAAAACGATAACGATAAACTTTAAAGCAGAATTTTGTCATGCGATTATGATGGCGATATAAGAAAACTACTGTGGCAGAATATTACTATCGTAGAATAGTTTTGCATCAAATCATTGTATAATATTAGTTTTTTGTTGCTTAAAAATATTATGAAACTAAAATCTGTTTTTTCAATTGATTTGTAAAAAATGTCAGACCAAATATTCATTTGCCTAATACATTTTATTGCACTGACAGCGAATTTAATGTAGATAATATAATTAACTTTTAGTTTTTAGTTTTATATAAAATATGCGACGCTTTTTAATCAAAAAGTTATCACATTATTTCGCAGATTCGAGATACAAAAAATCTGCGAAAAACAAATTTAAAAAAATTGAAAAAACCCGCGGTAAATGAAAAAAATTATCTAGTTTTAATATGAGATTTACCGTCAAAAACCCAGACTAATCCCAGATGGGACCCATGTAGAATTTCCAGATGGGTTCCAGTATTTTCCCCAGTTAGGTCCCAGTTAGAGTGGTTAACTGTGATGATATCATTACATCTTCAATAATCATCTAAAGGAATCCATAACAACATAACTCCATGAAAATAAATCCAGAAATATAGACTTCTAATTTATACTAATTTTCATTTTAAAGGTATTTATTGTTGTATAAGCATTAGGTTATTAACGGCTAAGAATACATTGACATATAGACCCACATTGCTATACCCAAAATTGTAATTTTTTTTTTATATATATATTCTGTTGTTCTTACAATAATAAAAAACAATTTTTCATAAAAAAAAGAAAATATATATTTGTATAAATTTTTTTTTTATATATATATATATATTTCGTCACTATATATTTTACATACAATTAACTTTAATTCAGTATACATTTATAAATTAGATAACAAATAAAATAATGACAGAAGCAAGTTGAAGACTGCAGTCTTATCATTAAGCCCCTTTTCATTTGCAACTTTGCAATAAGTTTCACATGAGCTTAACGTTACATTAAAAGTTCATAAGTAGCCTTGTACGTAGAAAACAAAACCTTGTACGTAACGATCTGATCTGATAATCATCGTTTGTGGTCATCCAAATGGGATAAGTTCGTTTTAGTTATTATTAACTTGATCTCTAAAAGTAGGAGAGTATGTTGACATCACTTAAGTTAAATAGGTGCAGTTTGACAGCAGCTTTAAAGAGATTAGATGACTTTATTTCTTCTTTAAGGATTGAATTCCATAGCCGTGGTCTTCGAGATAAGATAGAAAAGTCAGTTATTTTAAATAAAGTCTTCGGAATGTTAAAGTTTTGAAAAGAGTAATTTGTTGGGTATTTGTGATCAATGGTGGAAAATTGATTTTCAAAGTATTTTGGTAGTAAATTGTTTTACGATTGAAACATAATTAATACATTTTGGAGAAGGTTTAGTTCATAAACATTCAGAACTCCAATTTCCCTGAATAATGGTTTGGCATGGGTATACCTGTTAGCATTGCATACAATTCGCTTTTGTTTTACGTACATTTTTTTTAGTACTGAAGAGTATGTGCTTGCCCAAACAATATTGTAATAGGTAATATAACTGTGAATGAACGAATAATATACATTTTTTGAGCAAGTTTTATTTAGGTGTTTTATTTTATGCATGATGCCGATTGGCTTGGAGATTTTGTTTTCAATGTGCAAAATCTTTTATCTAAAATTTTCTTGAAAAATTATTCCAAGGATTTTTATCAAATGGTCTCTTTCTATATTAATATTGTTGATCATAAGTTGGGTGAAGCTGAGGTGGTAAATTAACAGAGTTAGATGATTTGTAAAATAAAAGATATTTGTTTTTGAGCATGTTTAAGGAAAGTTTATTAGCTTTGAACCACTCGTTTAAGTTTTGTTTTAGTAACTGTAGAAAATATTGTTTTTATATTGGAGTGAGTAAAGAAAATATTCTTATCATCTGCAAAAATAGTAAAATTAAGAATGTTTGAAGTTAAGTAAATATCGTTCATATAAATTAAAAATAGCAAAGGTCTAAGATTGGAGCCTTGTGGTACACCGCAACTAA